CTCCAGTCTGGGCGACAGAGTGAGACTCCAACTCAAAGAAAAAAAAAAAAAGGAAAAAAATCCAGGCCAGGTTAAGTGGCTCACACCTGTCATCCCAGCACTTTGGGAGGCCGAAGTGAGAAGAGTGCCTGAGCCCAGGGATTCGAGACCAGCCTGGACAACTTGGCGAGACTTCATCTCTACAATAAATAACAGTAAAAAAATGGGCCGGGCATGGTGGTGCTTGCTTGTAGTTTCAGCTCCTTGGAAGGCTGAGGTGGAAGGATCACCTGAGCCCAGCAGGTCAAGGCTGAGGTGGCTGGGAGCGTGCCACTGCCCTCCAGCCTGGGTGACGGAGTGAGACTCCAACTCAAAAAAAAGAAAAGAAACAAAACCAGGAGGAGTGGATGGAGCATGGGTGCATGTGTGTGACGTGTGTTGGGGCCGGGGCTGGCCCTTCAACAGGGAGGCCGGGGAAACCTCACAGAGAAGGCGACATCCAAGCAGAACCCCGGGGGAGGAGCGAGCCGTGGAAACATCTGGGGAAAGCATTCCTGGCAGAGGGAACAGCCTGTGCAAAGGCCCCGAGGCAGGCTGCGCCTGGGGTGTGGGAGGAAGGGCGTGGAGGCCCAGGTGGCTGGAACACAGTGAGGCGGGGTGGAGGCCAGGAGGTAGGGCAGGTGGTGCAGGGCTTCGAGCAGAAGGGGGTGGGAGCCACGCAGGGCTGTGGGCAGAGCAGAAGCAGGACCGGGAGGACGGGGGAACCGCTGCGAACACACTGGAGAGGGAACCAGCCCGGCCAGCGCCCTAGGGCTCAGGCGCTGCGCCAGCTCAGGTGCTGGTGAGGGGCGCCAGATTGCCCCCCCCCCGGGGATCCCGCGGACTCACCTGGAATGGCCCGCTGATAGCTTCGCTGGAGGCCGGGCAGCCTCATGGTGACCTGGCAGTAGAGGGCGGGCGGGGCCCGGGTCCCCAGGGGGGGCAGCCGCCAGCGCTGGGTCACCCGGAGCAGCGGGTCCTCGTCCTCCCGGGACGCCGCCTCCTCCACCTCGGGGTCCAGGGCCTGGGCGCCCTTCAGTTCCTGGTGCCCCAGGAGCAGGGCGAAGGAGAGGTGCGGAGGCCAGACCTCGTGGGCCGTGCAGGCCACCTCCCGGTCCTGCCCGGGCACCAGCGCCGTTGGGGCGACGGTCAGCTTGTCCGGGAAGGCTGCGAGGAGGGCAGGGCAAGCCGG